TTCTGTAGTTTGCCCGGTTGATGTGAGATTGGCCGTGGAGGCGTCTTTCGGTTGTGGCCCGGTTGGGGAATGTCCGGTGGGTTGAGCCACAGCCGCTGAGCTTGGCCTTGTAAAGACTACCCCATCTTCTCGTACATTTAAAACGTTCAGCTCCATGTCATCGGTTAGAGGAGGAGGAAGTCCCGGGAGAGAACCGTCCATCTTGTCTATTGTCTCGGCCACAAAGGAGGCTCCGGTGACTTGCCGGAATCCGTCACCATCGCCGGTGCTGATGTCGCCAGTCACCGGTGGAGCTCCGGCGCCGGCCAGGTGGCCGTTGTTATCTCGAAGGATGCTGTCGGCTGCAGATGTGATAGGCGAGATGGGGTGAACGTTTGTTGTGTTGTGCTGGTAGTTGTTTGTGATGGGCTGGGATTGTGATTTGGGCTGGTTTTGGAGAGGAGGAAGGCCCAAGAAGCAGGTCTGAGATGATTGAGGGTTGCTGAGGGTTTGTGAGCCCGATTTGGTGGGCACTGAATTGGGCCGGGAAATGTGGCTCTCAAGATGGGCCGGTTGTGTAGATGACTTGGGCCCAAGAAGAGGATGGCCCAAATTCCTTTCCCTTAGCTCAGCTTCAGCCATTTGTTCAAACCCTAGTGGGGATTGCTGCTGTACCGATCGCAGGGAGCTGGAGTTTGCAAGCTTCTTCTCCGGCAAGACAGTATCCATCGGTATCTCATAAGACCCGAAAGCGACCGGCGGAGAGTTTCCGATCGGTGTGGACCCTTTAATTTCAGGCGCAAATTGGACCCGATTTTCCTCTGCCAATATTTCTCCTTCTTCCATGTCTATGCTTTTTCCTTCTTCCTGATTATGGATTTTGTTTTTATCAATAAAAGCCGAGAGAGCATCTCGGATTTCTGGCTGTGACAAGAAAATATCGAGCTCCATTGAGGGAAACTCGGATGCGGATGGTTTGCTTGGTAGGTTAATAGCTGGGAGATCCATTATTGATAATGGACGGACTGATTAACGGGTAGGTCCGGCGGCCAGAGGCCGCCGGTTATAGAGGCCGACGGTGGTCTAGGTGGTGGCGGAGGACTGGTGGAGATGGGTGCGTGGGTGGTAGGATACAGTTAGAGAGAGAGAGTAAGAGAGAAGGGAGAGCATTTGTCTGTTGCTGCTAGGTTTATCTTTGTTTCTATGTTAGTTGTCTTTTGTTGCTAGGTTAGTTGTCTTTTGTTTCTATGTTAGTTCTTTCCTGCTTCTAGGTTAGTTGTCTGATGATGCTAGGTTAGTAGTCTGTTGTTGCCAGGTTAGTTATCTTTTGCTGCTAGGTTAGTTGTCTGATGCTGCTAGGTTAGTTGTCTTTTGTTGCTAGGTTATTTTTCTGATGCTGTTAGGTTTTTGTTTAAACAAACAACGCCCCGGAAGGGCGAGGGATTGGGCTGGATCCCCAACGTGTGCACAGATCAACGCCCCAAAATGGGGGCCCAGAATATCAAAGACTACAGTCTACAAGGTCTCACGAGAAAATCAAAAGACAAAAGGAAATAACAATACAAGGTCTAACTTCAAGCTAACAGGTGCCCGAAATAAAATCTGATCTAAATAAAGCACTAATCCTAATCAACTGGAAGCGAAACGATGGATATCCAAGTTGATCCATCCGAACAAGCGTGCGAAGGCAGAGTTCAGCAGTGTCGGTCTGAAACGTGTGTGTGTCTAGTATGGTAGCACCAAGGCTGGCAAGGTAGTCAGCAGGTCTGTTCCCCTCACGGAAAATGTGTGTGATCCTGTGATGGACAAATCGCAGAACAGCTGTAATGCGCATAAGCGGGTGCTGAATCTGCCACGAGCCCATGGCCCAAAGACAAGAGGGTGACGACAGCCGCAGCGTCCAACTCGATCCAAATATGACTAGAGATGTGGGCAGCAATCTGAAGGCCAATCTGTAATGCCTGAATCTCTGCGTCGTAACTCGAGGAGGCCTGAAGGGACGTGTGGAAGGCGGTGATGAGGGCGCCGCTATAGTTCCGGATCAAGCCTCCTCCTCCGAAAACACCAGTATGGCGATCGAAAGAACCATCAGTGTTCAGCTTGACCCAAGAAGAGTCAGGTCGAAGAGAACGAAAAGGCACAAGGGGAGCCACCGTGTAGCGGTAAGGTGGCGTGCATCCTGTCCAGTCTCTGGCAATGAGCCTGCCCAATGATGTGAGGAGTGAAATATGTCTCTTTACCTGCAAAACAATGTGAGAAAGCAAAAAATTAATATCCATATGCTTCGCACTATTCCTTTCCGTCTAAGTGAACCAAAGGATCAGACAAGGAATGAGGAAGCCCACGTGTCTAAGGTGTGTGCTCTGTGAGAAAAAACTCAGGAGCTCAAAGAAACTGTCTGTGGAGGGCAGGGATATATACGTCCATGTGGCAAAATACTCCCACACTCTCCTCACAATCTCACTCTATAGAAAAAGGTGGGTAAAGGTCTCGGTCTCATGGCGTCCAGTCTTAGAACAACACACACACCGAGAGGGGAAGGATATCCCCCTCGCATGTAAAACAGTGTCCACGGGTATCCGGCGCAAGAGAAGGCGCCAAAAGAATACCGAAATAGTAGGGGTGAAAAGATCGCCCCAGATGGCTTCGAAGAGAAGATTAGGCCGATCTCTCAGCCTGATCTGCTCCCAAGCCGAGGTAGTAGAAAACACACCCGATGATGTAAGTCTCCACCTCATGCCATCCGAACCGTCCCCCGAGATGGGAATCTGTTAGATCTGATCTAATAAATGCTCGCTAAAACCCGCCCCAACCCCCTATCCCACGACCCTTCCATCCAAAGTTCGCTCACAAGCATAAAGGAGGAATGCGAACCTGTCTATCCCTATACAACGGCCTATCACCAATCCACCACTCATCCCAAAAACTAACCTCGCCATCACCCAAAACCCAAAAGATGTGATCCTGAGCGCGCCTACCGACTCTAGTAAGACGCTGCTACTGTCTTCTATCATGATCCACCGCCTCATCCAACAAGGGTGGTTAGCGCGTCTAGGGCAGTACTTGCAGCGAAGGTACTGAGCCCAAAGAAAATTTCCTTCCCTGAAGCGCCACCACAA